TTTTTTAATTATCTCTAAAATATTTAATTTATTTATAGAAAAGCATACAATTCGAAGTTATTTCTATTTTACGAGCGCGAAGGCTAGTCGAAAAAGCCAATAAGACTTTTGTCAGGAAAAATCCATTGTACGTGGAATCGCGTGAGTAAGTTCGTCGCAAGCATAAGAAATTCGCGGTCATGCGAAATGAATGCCCGTTCTCAAGTTTCTTCAATATAAAAATATTTCTTCTACCACAAACAAACTCAATCTTCAGATACACATCTGTACGGAAACTTAAATTTCGTACTATCTACGAGAACTATATCTCGCACTATCTCGAACTATCTCACAACCATCTCGAATTTTGAAAAACAATTTTTCGATGTCGATATTCTTATTCTATCTCGACAACAATAGTGTCAGAATTTTGCGCGCTACAGTATTTATTTTCTAGTAGTCTCGGCTTTAATTTCCTACAATTAGCCATATAGTTTAATAACTTCCGAAGATCCCTTATCTTGAGATTATAAACTGGAAAGAGGCTAGTTTAGACTCATTAACACTAAAGTCCTCTCTGAGAAATTAATAACTAAGAATTAATATTAAGAATTAAGCTATGTTGCGTTAAAATATTATCTTGTGTTCATTGCGGAATATTTTTGTGTGCACAAATTTTATATTTCCGGTATATTATATATTGATCATTAATAATATCATTGATAAAAATATATTAAAAAGAATTACGCCAAGTAACGTTAGAAATCTTGAAAAGATTTGCAGGAAAATTGCATTATAAAATATATTATCCGTGTAAGTAGATTGTTAAAGTTACTTAAATCACTTAAACTCTTAGGTAACTTAAAACTTCAGTACATAACAAACTTTAATACGCTATATGTCTTTCGGTTACAGACAATTTGATACGTAATTCTTTTCTTCTGTAATTAGTCAACTTTGTTGACTCTTAAAAGAAAGCCATTGTTATAATCACTAACAACTGCTCATAAAAATCTTCCGAACTTATGTCTTAAAATTATCTTCCGTACTTAGATTGAAGAGAGATATCAAGATATTCGATCCCTCGTAAACAACAGGAATAGCAAATAAGTCTATTTCAGAATAAATCAATTTATTTCATTATCATAAATCTTAATTAATTTTAAAGTTGTATTCATATGGTACTAACATCCTACTAGTGATCGATTTTACCATCTATATAATATCCGGTCTGAACCCCATCTATATTAATCCTTAGAAGCTCTGTCGTAGTAAGTAAAGCTGTAACATCTAGTTAATACTAACTTGTAAATTATAGCGGACCGTCCTCCAATCTTTGAGCAGTGTGCCTGTGTTCACAGTCTATTAAACACAGATAGATACGATATAGGGAGAAATACGATGGATACGATAGGGAGAGAAAGAGAGAGAGATAGAGAGAGAGCTGTAGTGAGGAAATTATATTATTCAATACGTATACATAATATACCAACTTAAAATCGAATTCTGAATATCAAGTAAATATGTATTGAAGAAACTAGAAGGTGCCATTCTAGAACATCAGTATCGGCTGGTTCAACTTTATTCTCTAGAGATAAGGAAGGTTCGACATTATAAGTTCGTCTTGATGTTAGTGTAATTTCATCTGCGCCAAGCAATCTAACGGTTAGAGGTATCCAGAGGTCTCTTTGCTCTAGAAAAGTCGTAAACACTCGCGCAGCATGTTATGCGCATAATTACGCAATATAAAAGAAATTCCATACTTTGAATGCAGGACATTCTTTAGTTTAATAAAATTAGAATTGCGTTTGAAAAACTGTTGAGAAAAAAGACCACGTGCGTAGAATTCTTAACTGATGATTTACGTAATTAAAAAAATATCCCATGCAGTATAAAATAAATCACAATGTGGTAATGAATATTAATAGAACAATGTCTCCTATTGCAAATATCTGTGGTGAGTAAATACTAAACGCTGCTGATACAACTGACGCACCATTTGGAATAATGCATAAACACGAGGTATTGCACAGTTAAATGCCATCAATGAATAAAGAGGAAATAAATTCTCGTATCTACTAATATTGCAAATGTTTTTAATAGGATTTTTCCTGTGTCAGCATTACCATTGATCTAAATCCGCCATACAACCGTGTCGTAAATCTACGAATCAAATTGCGAGTTTTACAGGCCGTTGTATCCCTCTGCGCATAATAAAAAGCACCAACAGATGGAACCTTGTTGTGATACGAACAGCATGGAATTGGAACAGGATTTATGTTAGATAGATTCTGTTTTACAATCTTGACATGAGATAGCAAAACGGCATGTAACTACCTGTCCCAGCAAAAATATTATACTATTTCAATATAAAAAATCTTTGGAATCTAATGTATCACCGCTGATCGTATGATAAAGTCAAATACTAATTTTTTATTATTCTATTAGATTCATTATGTTTCTAATTATTATTTAAAATATCTTACTTAAATATACTTATTTAACGTGCTTCATAGTATAATAGCAAAGTAAAAATATAAAATTTATTACCGCAATATATGATTATTACATATAATTATATTCATGTATTTCCTCCTTCTATGTCTATATAGATACATACATATATAATAATATAATATAATAAAAAAAAATTACATTCTTTTTATTCTATTATATATATTCAAGTATATTTATAGATGATGAAATAAATCTGTAAAATCATTATTTAAAATCTTATTTTACGTTAGTTATTCTCACACGCATTAATATTTCTAAATAGCAAGAAATATATATAAACTTATATTAGAAAAAAAACTGTTTTCATCAATCTTAAGCTCGACAAAATCCAGCCATGACAAACTAAAAACACTCTCTACCCTCATTCATGTCGCTCTATCGATTAATCCACCTGCTCCAATACTTTTCACGTTGGTTACACTTACTTGCATCCCCCCTTGAATCCGTTATCCTAGGGCATCCTGATGAGTGCTCATGAGAAACAAAAACATGAAGCACCTTTTGCCTACATACGAGACACGAGTCCACCCACCCCTCACAGTCCACTGTCCGCTCGATAGAGCACTAACTCTCTCGCTCTCATCCCTCTTGGTTTCCACCCTTTTTGCCTTCTCTCTGCGCTGGTCATCTCATTCTGCTCGTATTTCCCACCGTTCATCATTCCCGTTCTCTTTCGCATTTTCTTTTTCATCTCTCCTCTCGATTTTCCTTCGTTCACACTAGATCGTTCAAAGGTGTCATATATATCCTCTCTTCCACTCTCTGGAACTCTTGGCTATCTTCTCTCCTGACTTCCCTTCACATTGAGCTCTTTCATTTTCCTACCGATATGAATCCTTCTTTCTTTCTCACGTATTTTCCATTTCGTTCATCTTTCCATATCTTTCCCCACTTCAGTATTCCTCTCTTTTCTTTCAAGCCATCTTCTTATTCCATAAAATCGCCTTTGGGTGTTGATCTCCCTCTGGAATCTTCGCTCGGAATGTATCCATCTTTGTAAGGCTTAGCTACTATCTTTTAGTGCTATCTTTCTCTATTCTGTTTTATTTCAATGATTCTTTTATTTTTTCAATTTTTTTTATTTTGTCCCTTTCTCCCCTATTCTGTTTAAAATTTTCTTTCTATTATTCAGCCTATATCTCCAGTCTCTCTCCAGCTTGACTTCTCTCTACATGTCGGTATCTTTGTCGTTTCCTTGGTCAAAATATTCTCGTCCTCTCTTATTTCAACTGCGCTCTGTCGATTTTTCGCTTCCCCCCCCCCCTTTCCTTCTACTCTTCACGTCTTTGTCACTCATACGCGTATTTCTAGTTCTGTCCTGCTCGCGGTCGCAGCATCCGCCGGATACAAGTTTGCTCTGTTACCTCCCTTCTGTTGTCGTCCCTTTCTCTCTGATCTGCTCTTACTCCCAGCCGACAGTCGCATCTCGTTTTCTCTATATGACTGTCTTTTTCTAACACTCCACTTATCTATCTCTTTTTCTCTTCCTTTCGTACATGTGTGTAATGCTCGCTCTCCCTTCTTCTCTCTCTCTCTCTCTCTCTCTCTGTCGTCTCCTTTTACCATCTCTCTTCGTATTCTGTTTCTCTTTCGGTCGTTGCTCGCTTTCCATAGGCGTGGATATTGAGAGGTATATACGTAAATGTATAAGTACCATGTATATCATCTGTATCATGTTAATTAGTTTTCAAGATTCGTTAAACAATTTAGCGATAGTCAGAAGAAGATTATAAAATTTAAAAGTGTAACTGGAAAAATTTTTAGTCTGCGAAAGTAATCTCAGAGAAAACTTAATTTAGCAGTATTAGGGAGCGATAAGAACTTAAAGATATAAACTTTCATTCGCTGTTGCAGAAGAGAAATTAAAGCTTCTTTTAATTCATTAAGAGCACTTCAGAATCCTTTCCAATTTATTAATGTCGAAAATGTTATTAATAACTGTCCTCCGCCTTTGCCGTTCACCCTCGCTTACGCACGTTTCCTCTCTTGCTCTTTCCCACCATCCCTTCACGCACCTTCCCCACTTTGCTGCCCTCCTCCTCGCCATCATCCCTCACCCTGGACCACTTCTCTCCTTCGCTGCTCCCTTCTGCCAGCCAATAATTTTCTCGCTCCCCGAACACATACACACACACATTCGCCCCTACCACTAGGCTCTCGTAGTGGTGTCCCTCTCTCGCGGTTTCTCTATCACACCCCGTGGTAGTCGCTCGGCAGCCACCCTATCTACGTTGCCCGTTCAGCTTCGGGCGCCGTCGTCGGAGCAACGGGATCGCGCGGCACCGGGGCGTTCAGTCGGCATCGCGTTCAACCCGCGTCAACCACGTAGAGATTTACGTCGCGCGTCATCGTCGGCTGGACCACTACATCGTGACCCAACACCTCGTGGCACGCCAAATCCCACTCGCCTTATTCGTTGAAAATCGTCCGGTTACTAAACGACCTGCCTAAACACGCAAGAATTATCCGAAGCAACATTACCCGCTCGATCCAGGGATCTCAAATCCTGCCAGAGCTCGTCTCCCGCGTTTGGGCAACCGAAATGGTTCGTTACTCCCTCTCACCCTTTGCTTAGTAGCAAACGCCTAGGTGAACCCTCAGAGTCGCAATCGATTCGATGACGATAACATCGTGATCTTGCACGCTAGATCTCGGCGATATTGAATTAGTAACTGGGACAAGATGATCGGTCTTGCATTAACCGTTAATTATTCGCATACACTACGCCGCACCGTGAGAGATATTCCCAGGTATTCCCGGGTCACGCTACCGGTTCATATGAGGTCATCGAAGCTATCGATATCGGATTTTGTAAAAATATTGATTTAACGAGTTTAACGAAAATTTTACATTGCAACACCTAATTCATTAGTCCTAATTGTAAACTTTTCCTTTAATATAGAATCGTCAAATTATGAATTGTAGAAACTTATAACGCTCTAATAATATTAAGTTTGAAATTATGACAGTCGCTTTCATGTGTAGATGCTGCATTGATTGTGCTAACAAAGGTATTTACATTTATGTAAAATTTTCTCAGTACTATCTTGCTGCTGCTGTAATCCGTTATTTACGCTAGCAATATTTCTCTCGCTACACAATAGAGAGAAAATTCTAAAACTCAGGTCACGTGTAATAATTCTACGTGACGTGAATGCTCTGATTGTGAAAAAGATTAAATACTTCAAATTCCGATGTTTTGATTATCTATTTGGAACGTTAGAAATTATTTTACAGCACGATCAACGCTAAGGACTATGGTAGAATTTTAGTAATATGTCAAGTAATATAAAATAGTGACGCTAATTGGGAAAAATAAGGCCTATATAAACGAGCAAAAACGGTTTTTCTCTATTAGTATATAAAAAGTAATTGAAAATGATTATCAAATCTAACAAAACGCGAAAAATACATCGGAATACGTACAACAATCCATTTTATTCAGCATGTAATTAATAAAATTAGTTTTTTAATGTTTCAATACTCTAAAATCATTCCTTTTCTCTCTAAATATATATATATATATATATATAAGAAACAATCTCCATCTTTGTGACAATGGTAGATAAGAGGTATATATGTACATGTATTTCACTTGAAGCAGTGCGAGTGTACTACGCGTCTACTCGACTGTGCCATGTTTTGACGTGTTAGGAAACTCGATGATCGTCTTGCGACTTGACTCGCCAAGTATCTATCTGATAAGCGGGGCTTATACCAGAGAAGCAACAAGATATAGATCACTTCACTCGCGAACCTAGCCCGATAATGTGATGTGAGGGCGTCGTTCTAAGTGCTTCTCATCTAGTTTAAATAAATATTATCAATTTCCTAAATATATAGCAGGCTACAAAATATGCAAATAGCAACTCTTAGCAAAACACGTAGTATTAAATAAAAATAACTTGCAAATATTAACCTAAAAAATTTTTTTTTAATTATAACAAAGAAAAGGATAAGAGAAGAAAATACGTCAACCCTTGCGAAACCATTTTGTTTTATTTTGAGTTATAGAGTCATAAAGCGAGATATACGAGAGCATACTAAAATCCAATAGGGGATATGCATATTTTATCCGTGAGACAGAACACGAATTAAAATACGCGATAATTCCGACAACTAGAATTATGTGGCAATCGCCACGGTATTGTTTTATCTTTAATCACATAAAACGAAACAAATGCAAACTGCAAACGTAATTTCAACGAGCTTCTATATAATACGAGCTGATTTTTGTGTCGCTGACATTCTTCTTCTTATGCCGGCGCCAGACGTATATAAATATTAAATTTCAATTACATTCACAAGCGGAATGCACAATTATGAAAATCATCTTATGAATTATAAAAATTGTGAGGGATAATGAAATCCAAAGCGGACAGAGCCATTCTAGAACACCGTTTATGCATTATTTTAATCCACAAAAAATCTCATGAAATAGAGATTCATATAATGAGACGAGAAAAGGCCAGTATTAACGAGTTGTGAAAATTTTGCATCTGAAAACAATTATTTGGGTCGCAATCGATCAAAATCTTTCCTGAAAGTCACAAATTTATAAATTCATACATTTTGATCTATTTGTTCAACCACTGTGTCTACAATTACACTTTAAAATGCAGTCCTTGCTAAGAGGTTTGATTAAAAGCGCGTACTACTACTGCGTGATATATGTAGTCTCTTTGTCTGACTAAAACGACGTGATCTACTTGGCGCACAGTCACCAAGCTCTTGTCCGATCAAGTAGTGGACGATCCACTTGGCGCGAATGCATCCTTTATCTGATCAAAGATGAATCGATCTATCTGACGAAACCTAGACTTCTTTTCAATGATCGAAGGATATCCACTTAACGTGATTTTGCTTTCGTTTCTCATTATTCTCTATAAATGAAAATCATGCTCGAGACAATTTTTCAATACATCTTCGATATTTCACACATGCTTTCTCATAACAAAAACGATTAATCATCCCCTATCGAAGTTGTTGTGTTGATAGACCACAAAAGTTATTCGATAAATTATTAATGATAAGTTCAATATTAATCACCTACTTTGCATGAATTATTATTATATGTATTTTCATGATTAAGTTTAGATGCTTTTTATTGTCTCGAGGGAAGCTTGTTAATAATTATTTAACAAGCGATGTCTAATAAAATGATTTTTGCAGCAAGAAATATTTAGTTATTAACTAAATTATATTTTTAAAACAAAATAAGTGAAATTTACGATTAAGACTTTTCTTGATTACTTTGAAGCTAATATTTGACATCGTTATTTTATCCCGTATTAAGATGTTCGAACACTTCAGTAAAAAAGAGAGCATGGAATGTCACCCCAGAGACGGTATTAGCGACAGTATTCTGATAGGCTGACATTTATAGCAAGCCATGTCACATCCGGAATTTTAGAATCCAATGTATGTTGAAGAAATAATTTTGGAAATATTTTTCAGGCTTTTTTCCATTACATAAATTTGTCTACATTACATAGTATTATTTTGTAAAGTAAATAAATAACTAAAACATAACAAGTATGATTTAAAAAATATTGATAATAATTTTTGTAATAAGAAATTTTTCATAATTACGGATTCTAGATTTGAAATTTCTTGCTTTGATAAAAATTTTATAAATTTGCAAGTAATAATACTTCGTTTTATTAGCAAATAAATATAATTCTATCTCTTGTAACATATGGAGCTTCGTGGAAATCAATTAAATATTATCGCTTTATGGAATCAGTTAAATATTACAGTTTTATTTTATGAAATCGATTAATTTGGTTCATCGAAGTGAAAAAATACGAATCAGTGAGCATTCGAAAATCTCCTAGTTACTCGTGGAGCTGTTTAATAAGAGTATAGGACGCGTGAGTGGTAGGGATGGGTGAACAGAGAAATGTGGAGGGTAATCGTATTTCCGGCGAATTTCCGACTCGATTAATCGACTAATCGGCACCAACTAACGATATGCCTATAATTTCAACGTATAACATCGCATATATTCGCGGTAAAGTCGTTTGCCCGGAGTTCAGTGAGACAACGCCTCGTTTCTGAATTTTCATCGATCTGTCCAAATCCGTGGATTCGGCCTTACCCGCCGTAAGCGACGCGACGCCACGTTACACCATTTTTAGCCCAACATCGGCCGGGTGAAACTTTCCCCTTCTGGTCCACCGATAAAAATAAATATTTCGCGAAAAAGAGGAAACTATTAAAGGTCAACAGGGCGTGGCTGTCGCGCGACAAAGTAATTACTGAAAATATGTAAACAGACTTCTGACGTCAAGAGTTCTCATTATTTTGAATAATTATTCTTCAAGGAATTTAACATTTCTAGAAGTAATAAAACTAGAAATGTTCTAGAAGAAATAAAACGCACCGTTTCAATCGAATTTCTCTCTTGTCGATCTTATTGCGCGCGCGAATTATTTATGCTTTTAAATTAGTTTTATACGAGCTTATGGAGGCTTTGAAACTTGATGATAATCCACATAAAAAATAATTAATAATAATATATCTAGATTTCTAACTTTCCTGGTTTTTAACTTTTATTATCAACTTTTGTAATGTTAACTGAGATTACTTTTTGCCGGCTCGGACAACTTTATTATTTTAATCACAGTGCATTTACGTAATACAATTTATTAGATAACATCAGATGCTATTATTTAATTTTGTTTCTAATAAAATTACATATATTTAAGATTAAAAACTACGTCATGCTGGACGTTCAATATTATTGCAAATTTTACATTTTCTAAAGTTTAAAAAACATCAATCCTGTATGTGAAGATTTTTACTTTATCTCTCCCTCGCACATATTTCAAAAAATAACACCTTTGACATTTCAATTTCATCGCGCAATTGAGATTAAATTTTATCGCATTTTAGCGAGATATATAAACAAAATATATAAAGATATATATTGATTTTTAAGCCGCAAAAAGAAATAATGTATCAATGAATTAATCTATAAATCAAAACTGGAAATTAAAGTAAATATTAGTACGACGTAAAATAAATTCTGATAACAAAAATTCTCAGTCAAGCGAAATTACAGCTCTTTGTCGAGGTTTTTACGACGAATTTCGTGATACCGCTGGGGCTTTGGTATCATATATATTCGCGAAACCAACATGTGAACCATTGAAGTTTCAGAACAGTTCCATGTAAAAATGAATCGAATTATTGAGGTTTCTGCGTACACCGCGAGTGGCACTTATACATATATGTATGTCAGATCGTATTGGAAAAAGTTTTTATCAGTATATGCATGTAGGTATATGCAGTCCCCGTTAATAGTCTAACATGGATGATAGTATTGAGAAAATTACTGCTAATTCACTCCAAAAGAAATATGAAGATTGATAAAAGCGGAAATTTTTCAATTACGTTTTAATTACGATCAAATCTTCTCAACGCGTGACCTTTTAAACACATAAATAAAAGTACGAGAGAATTACTAATTCGTTTTTAGAAAAAATATGAGTTAATTGAAAATCGATGCTTATGGAATACAAGCATAGAGAATTGTCCAAT